ATACGAAATGCATTCAGATCAAGGCCGTAATTTCGAATCAGCTGTGTTCCATGAATGCTGCAAGTTGTTTGGCATACGAAAGACCAGAACAACGCCACTTCACCCACAGTCGGATGGGATGGTAGAAAAGTACAACTGGACACTTGGACAGGAATTGGCAAAGTTTTGTAATAGCCGTCAAGATGACTGGGATGTCTTACTCCCTCCACTGTTGATGGCCTATAGAAAAGCAGAGCATGAAGCCACTGGAAACACTCCAGCAAAGTTGATGTTTGGTCGGAACTTCAGTTGCCAGTGGATCTGATAACAGGACGCCCAACTTACGAAGAGTTGCCTGAAAATTTGTCAGAGTTCGTGAAAGTGTTATCAGAAAGGATGGATGATATTAACCATCAAGTGCATTGATACTTGAAAACGTCTGCTGATTCCATGAAGCTATGTTATGATAAGAGATTTATTGAAGTCAGCTTTGTACCCGGAAACAAGGTATGGTTGTATAATCCCAGGAATACCAAAGGGAAGTCTCTTAAGTTGTCATCTCTATGGGAAGGCCCATATGACATAGTGGATCGTCTTTCAGACGTGACTTTCCCAATAAAATGTGATCAGCGAGGTAAGCCAAAGGTGCTGCATGCCAACAGGCTTTGGCGTTATCTTGGTCCAGGACATTTCAGTTGGAACGAAGTGAACAATGAAACAAATGACGCTGTTGAAGACGTGTCACCAGAAAAAGCCACTGTCGAAGAAGAAATTCTACCCGGTTTTGAGAAGGGAAACAGTGAAGCCCTTCATGAAGTTACTACTACTGATGTGATTATTACCGATAATAGGACGATTCCTGATGGAGCAGATGAACCTCACATGAAGCAGAAGCCAACGAGACAGAGACCAGTATGGAAGAAGATACGTCCTGTAAAATTAAGAGACTATGTTGAATTTTAATTTTGTGTTTGTAAATTCTGTACATTTAATTAAGTTATTGTTAATTATTTGTTGGTTTAATTTAAGTGACTATTGTTCGCGACGAACAACACTAAGGAAGGGGCAGGATTACGACAGTGGAAGTCACGTGACGCTCGCAACTCGTAATGAGTATCTAGAAGGATTGGAGAACATCACGAATAATCCAGTATTTGCTAGACACCCTATATTCCTGTATATAAGCGCGCCAGATAAAGCTAGACAATTAATCGGAACTGGATAATTGCAAACAGGCAGAGACAGAGACGGACAGTTGAGTCAAGTGCGGTAGTGACCTTAAGTAAAGTGTGAATCGTTGTGAATTATAGCGTGTGTTTAAGTTAAAGTGACTGTGGAAATTAAGTGTATTGCAAGTTGTATTGAGAAAGAATAAACTAATTTTATTTAAGAAAGGACTTGTATGCTAAAGTTTCATTAGAAAGAAATTATACGGGAAATTAACAAACGACCGGAGACATAACAATACAAAGTGCACTTGAGAAAATAAAAAAATAATACTAAAAACTAGATGTTCAGCCTCAATATCCGTTGTACAGAATAAATGTTTCACATAACATCACCAGTTAACATTATAGTATTAATTTTATTATCATTATTAATATAACTTACCAACTGCAACAGCTGGTTGAGCATCTGAAAGATAAAAACAATTTCATTTCAGAGCATTTTGAAATTAAAAATTTCAAGAATATAGAATGAAATAGATAAATAAAGGAATGTAATAGTTTATGTTAAAAGCAATAAATATTGATTGTCTACCAACAGTGGTTTAAGAACCCAAGTTCTGTTGATGTTTCCTTACAGTTAATAAGACGAAAAAACAATTTCACAGTTTTCTAAATTCTCTTCGATTTTGATGTTTCCTAAAGTTGTTTACGTTTATGAGAAGATAACTATGACGTATTTGCATCATTTGCTTCTCGTGTGAAGGATCTTAACCGCCGTCGCTCGCCTGAATGCATGAAATTCGATGATACTGAACATTTATATTGCGGATTATTGTAATCAAGTAGTTTTGAATGTTGTACGAGGACTTCATACAGGCCTGACGTCAAGTTATACATTGTAATATAGTGGCTTTGAATGTTGTACGAGGACTTTTTATAGGCCTGACGTCAAGTTATACATTGTAATATAGTGGCTTTGAATGTTATATGAGGACTTCATACAGGTCTGACGTCAAGTTATACATTGTAATAGAGTGGCTTTGAATGTTGTACGAGGACTTTTTATAGGCCTAAAGTCAAGTTATACATTGTAATAGAGTGGCTTTCAATGTTATATGAGGACTTCATACAGGTCTGACGTCAAGTTATACATTGTAATAGAGTGGCTTTGAATGTTGTACGAGGACTTTTTATAGGCCTAAAGTCAAGTTATACATTGTAATAGAGTGGCTTTCAATGTTATATGAGGAGTTTTTATAGGCCTAAAGTCAAGTTATACATTGTGATTGAGTGGCTTTGAATGTTATATGAGGACTTCTTACAGGCCTGAAGTCAAGTTATACATTGTAATAGAATGGTTTGGATTTTTACACGAGGACTTCTTACAGGCCTGAAGTCAAGTCATATTCTTTTAAGGATCACAGATAATACTGCTAGAAAACACTGATTAAATAAATGGTATATAGCGCTAAAGCTTGATATCTATTAGGGTAGCAAGGGAAATAACACTTGATTAAACCAAAATCTGTTAACCATAACTACTTAATTACTAATATTGAAGTGTTCAAAATATAGTTTTATTTTAGGGCCTTATATCGCTTTCTCTTCTAATCTAACACATTATTAAATAATTCCGAAATTGGATTTTCTTATGATTTGCATCTATTTAAAAACTACATATTGTTACGACAACGGAAGTCACGTGACGCTGCTAGCGCGTTTGGCGCTAGTAGCGTACGTGAAATTTCTTGAATGATTATGAATTTCCTAGTGCCTTCGAAACACCCTCTTTTTTTAGTATATAAGCCTGGCGAGAAAAGCCAGTGGATAGGAAATGTATGGTTAAAACGAACAGTAGTCACAGTAAGTTATCGAGATTGTGAATCGCTGTGATTTATAGCGTGTATTATAAAAGTCGTTAAGTTTAAAGCAACGGACGAGGAACGTATTGACTGTGAAAATTCTGTGTACTACAAAGTTCGTATCAAGAAAGAATAAACGGAAAGAATTTATACCGGAAATTAACAAACAAGCAGATACGTAACAATATATATATTGTTACGTCTCCGTTTGTTAATTGA